CAGATCATCAGACCATAGTTGCAATTGACCCAATAAAAATCGGTGTGACTTGAACGGTTCACTAGTCAAACCAATAAATCAAAAAATTTCTTGACTTGACGAGTTGGTCTTAATTATATTTATTTTTTTAGCTTAATTATAATTTTAATCATTCTATATTCTATTTTCTTAAATTTTGATGCCCTTGATTTAAAATCCAATTTTATTATTATTTATAATAATTAAATAATGTTAAAATTACAAAAATAATGTAATAGTTATGAAATTTGTATCAAAAATTTTATTTCATGATTTATTTGTATAAAATAAGTTAAAAGTTATGATACATTGGTCTCTGGTGTGACCAATAACTCAATGATCCAATAATTTTATCGGATTGATCACCTATCTAAATTTTAAAACCATGTATGAAATCATTGTTATTGTTGATGTCAGACTCAAGATGTAGAGAACCAGATTTTATACCGACATACTTTTAGCATAGCTAAATATATGGAACTTCATAACCATACCCCATTTGATCCTAACAAAATAACAATACCCTATAAGCTAACACCACCTCTCACTCACTCTATCACTCAAAAATGAAACCAAACGTGTCGTATCCAAAATTCACAACTCTCCCAACCCAACACATCATTACCACTTTTATTTTCTTTTTCATAAATCCAAAACAATCTATGTCTGACACGTTATTGCCTTGTATTCAACTTTATTAATTAACTCTTGAGACTGAGACACAGTTTAGTTGAACTTAAGAGACACCTAATCTATCTATAAATAATTATAACACCATTTGCAACACTTCAGAAACCGTGAATTCTTTCTTTCTTTTCTTTTCTTTCTACCTTACTTTATCCAGCAATATCACTCACACTTTTCTTGTTCGATCAACATCTATCTGTCTCTATATTCTGATAGAAACTTCAAACTTTATGCAGTTGGAAAAATCATAGGGATGGCCCACTATTTTCTTTGAGGTATACCATGAATCAACATTATCCTTATTATATTCATCATGTGAATTATATATATCTTCATTCATGCATACAGAAAAAGGAGATTGTTGAAATGGAGGATGCATCATCATCATCATCATCAAATCAAAGATCACTTGAGAGAGTGGTTTCTCAGAAAGCCATGCAAATGAGCAATTCATTTCCTTGTCAGATATGTGTGGTGGGATTTCTTTCTGGAATTTGTATTGCTTCTTTGATTATGGCTACTCTTACTTCCATTGGTAGTTTTCAGTTTTCTCATTTTTCAATGCTTCATTTATCATTCAACTCAGATCTCAATTCCACTACTATCAGTAAGTCTTTTTCCTTAATTACTTTCGTTTTATGCCTTTTTACTTTTTTTACCTTTTCAACTTAATACCTAAATCAACAATTCAATACTCATACCTCTCAACAAATGTAAATGTCTGGTAGTGTCTGTTGTCTGACATTAGCCTATCCAACATAATAGTATAATAGTTTTTCAAATTATTATCAGTATCTCGGTGTTGCGTCAGTTATTTCTGACGAAACTTCTCCTTATTTCTGACGAAACTTCAAGGAGATTTATTCTTGAAGCAAACTTGATGAGTATGAGTTTTAAAGCTGGCTTGTACATGAAGTATCATATAATTATCTTAATCCTTTATTTTACTTTAAGCATACTCTAATTTTAGTCCTTTTTGACTTTGACCACACTTGCTACAAGCATTACATTAGGGAGAGATAATTACACTATGATCATTATTTTTTTTTTTTTGTATAATCAAGTTATTAACACATGAAAAATGTAGTGATTAAATAAAATTAACACTAGTGCTTTTTTTCCATGGTGACAACAGCACAATGTTCCTTTAATCCTAAAGAGATACAAAGATTAACAGATTTGAAGAGCAGAAAAGAGATAGAACAAGATGAAAGGGTGTCTTTGCTTTATTCTGCTTGGAATTGTGTGTTGAATAAGCCTACAACTGGTACAAATAAGTGCTTATGGAAACTTGGAATTAATGAATCCAGTTTGCTTAATGCTCCACATTTGGAAAACTGCAAGGCGAAATCGCAGCTGCATGACCGTCTCGACAAGCGTATAGGAAATGATTCCTTTCCGCCGTGGACAAGTTGGAACCGTCTTGCTGCAACCACTGATCAGAATCAAAAGTTTAGAAATCAAGGTGTATCTGAGGGTGCTTATCCACCCTGGGTATGTTTCTTAATCATTTGTATTGTATATAACGCGCGATGATGATTATGTGATAATTATTTGATTGTAGAATCTTTTGCAGATTGCAGGATCTGATGAAGAAAACTATCCTTTGACACGAAAAGTTCAACGCGACATATGGATCCATCAGCATCCATCGAATTGTAGCGACGCAAATGTCAAGTTCCTTTTAGCTGATTGGGAGAGATTGCCTGGATTCGGCATTGGTGCTCAAATTGCTGGAATGTGTGGACTTCTTGCTATTGCAATCAATGAAGGAAGAGTCCTTGTCACTAATTTCTATAATAGAGCTGATCATGACGGTTGCAAAGGTATAAATTTTTCGGAATTAGCATATTTATTTTAACAACTTCATACAATGTGAATATCTACTTGGAATGTTGCTCGTGCAGGTTCGTCCCGGTCTAGCTGGAATTGCTATTTCTTTGCAGAAACTTCGGTTGAATGTCGTCGACGTGCATTTGAGCTCATGAAAAGTGATGACTCTTTGAGTATAGGAATTTTGACGACGAAAGAAAACTATACCTCGAAGCATATATGGACAGGACCAACTCCTAGGCAAGCTCTAAAGAACTGCTAGCATCCATAAATCTATGATTGATTGATTGATTCATTCCTGAATATATGATGCAGGATATGGGGCGATCCGTGGAACTATTTGCAACCGACGACTGATATAAATGGAAGTCTGGTGGTTTCTCATAGAAAAATGGATCGACGGTGGTGGAGAGCACAGGTATGTCTTAACAATCAACTCTCAATAACAACCTTTCCTACCAATGTTGTTTAACGATGAAAATTTAATGTTCAGGCCGTACGATACTTAATGAGGTTCCCGACTGAGTACACATGTAATTTATTGAATGAGGCGCGTCATGCTGCCTTTGGAAAAATAGCTGCAAAAATGGTTCTGGAAAGTCTTGTTGGAGAATGGCCAAAGGTTAAGTTTCAACTATGTTTCCTTTCATAGAACTAGACATTTGACACACTCACGCAATTTGAACCACCTGATTAAGATGGTTTCAGATTGGTGAGTGCGTGAGTAGGAGGAATCCAGACCCTATTGTACATTCTTACATGCTTTGATTATGTCAATGTGTTGACTTTTTGAGATGCCTTAGGAGGAGAATGGTGAAAGAGCAAAGTCTGATATTGAGAAGTATGTATGGTCGAATCACAAGCCATGGATCCCAAGACCTCTTCTGAGTATGCATGTAAGGATGGGAGATAAAGCATGTGAAATGAGAGTGGTTGAATTTGAAGAATACATGATGCTTGCTAATAGGATCAGGAATCATTTCCCAAATCTCAATAACATTTGGCTATCAACAGAAATGCAGGTAGGTAAATAATATTTGTCTTTGGAGACACGGAACACGTGTCACTGACACGTGTCTGACACCGAACACATCTGTTATTGTTGTTTCTTGTGATTAGGAAGTGATAGAGAAAACGAAAGAATATTCTTCAAGATGGAAGTTTCATTATACAAAGGTAAGAAGGCAAGATAGGAGTAATGTGTCGATGGCTGAGTATGAAGGAAGCTTGGGAAGGGAGAGAAGCACAAACTATCCACTTGTTAATTTTCTTATGGCTGCTGATTCAGATTATTTCGTTGGAGCATTGGGTTCAACATGGTGCTTTCTTATAGATGGAATGAGAAATACTGCCGGAAAGGTTATGTCTGGTTACTTGAGTGTCAACAAAGACAGATTTTGGTAGAAATATAAATATATTTATATCTATCAATTTTTTACTATTTTCAATAATAACACACAACATTTATGTAATCTTTTGTAAAATACTGTAAATTATTCTTATCTATTATAATTGTACATGTCAACAATAGTACACGTTGCTGAAGAATCTTGTGAAGTAAAAGAATCCACATATTTGCAACTAGTTTTTGTGCTTTCTTTTATTTTCTTTTGTTCTGTATATTCTGCAAACTACTCAACTTAAAATTCTAGACAATTGAAATGTATTGATTTAATTTCCTTTGTTTTTATTTTTTTTTTTAAAGTAATTTTGCCTTTTAAGTAATATTATAATTTTACCATATCAACGATGAATATTTTATCATATTCTATTCTGATCAAATTTTTATTATATTTTATTTATATCTTATCATGCACACCAACTAACCCTAAATATTTTTATCATATTTTTATATTTGCGAACCAAAATCAAAGCAACCCTAAATATATATGTCCCGAAGTATTTATCATCTAAAAGAATAAACTTAAATTATTGGTTCTGGACCAAAAAAAAAAATAGATTATTGGTTTCTTCAGAGCTTATAGACAATGTAGATGCAATGCAACTTTCTGTTTGACAATAAATCCTTTGTACTCACTCATCTTGTAGTTCAATCATTGAATATGACGTTTGAATAAACTTTACTATGACAGGTCCTTTGAAAACAACATACAAAATCTTAATGAAAGGAATGTAACTAAAGAGAACAACACTCAAGAAAATCTAAAATCGATGATCATCGACATACGAAAATTAGAATGAAGGAAAGCAATTGATGAGCAAGACTATATAGCTCTTCAATTTCACTTCACATGACAAATACAACAATTTCTAGAAGATGATTGCTTCCTTGGCAAAACGGCTAATAACAATTGGTTGCACAAGAAGTTTCTAGTAAATTCTTAGAGAACCCCTCCAATGTTGAAATGTAAAGTCAGCTGTGGCACTGTGCATAATAAAGAAAGACTCTTTCTGTCGGGTAACAATTATCAGACCCAGAGATGCATACCGTAATATTACTACTATTCTTCTATGTCCTCAGTGCTGCGATGCACTCCATCTCCAGGTTTACCTACTGGCGGCTTCTTATGTTTCTTACTTTTGGCTTTCTTTGCCTTCATTCGCCGTTTCTTTTCATTGGCGTCTACCCATTTGTAGTCTGCAGGTATGCTGAAAGGATCAGCTTCGTCCTTATATCTGTGACTGTCGGAGTCACTGGACTGCCCCCCTCGGCCTCCTTTCATCCATGAAATCCATGATGCAGACCCCTCTGATTCTTTGGATTTGGCATCCTGGAAATGTGCAGGGCTGGAAAGTGGTGTTGAAAACTCCTCTACTGGCTGAAGCTCCTCAAATTTTGTAAATGTGACAAGCACCCTGATAGTAGGGACTATTGGGATAGCAACCTGTGCAGCACAAAAATTATTATTACCATTTCAAATCAAAAGTCATCATTATTATAAACAAGAATGGATGATGAACATACTACAGCACAGATAAAGAGTGACATGCAGAGATGCAGATATTAAGCTCAATATTATTGCACTAACGCTCAGACATAGTTTGATTTGTCTCAAGTTTATATGAGATAAGCTAAGCAAGTCAACTGAGTCATAACTAGTTAAAGATAATTCCAGTATTAATCACCCAATTTTCACTGCCAACTGACAACTCCTTATTAGGCAAATTGAACAGTGGAGAAGGGAAAAATTGAAAAACCCTCGAGTTTATATGGTCATCTGACCAAAAGCAGACAATCTTGGCTTATGCATGAATCAGTTTTGTGTCGTCATAGCTTGACACTATTAAAATAACAAAACAAAAAGAGTGAAGATTATCAGTTAAACAAGACATTTGAATCTGTTTTATATAAAAATAAAAGACATTTAGAATATACTCATGCACATATGTTAATGCAATTATGCAAGTATCACTGGAGATGATAGAAACAGTCCCTGTGAGTCAGAATCTCATCACAGTTGTGAAACCTAAGCAACTTTCTAATTTCGGAGAAAATTCAGATGTTTAGCATGTGTATATTTATGCCAATAAATAAAGATCTATCTCACTTTCTGCCCATAAAAGGTAGCTCAGGTAATATGAGCACTCTTTACTGACAGATTGCAGAGCAAAAGTGCATAAAAAGTTTGGAACTTCAGCTATAGTATTTGGATTACCTTGACAGGAAAAGTTCCATGAGGAAGCTTAGTTGTCAAGAGCTCTCTGAGTCTTCTAATAGCCTTAACCTTATTAGCCAAGATGTCAAGTAGAGGCAGCAGCTCGTCAGTTTTCAATGGGAAGTCAGGCGTTAACCACAAGACAGGTCTTAAACCCTTTTTATATTCACTCTCGTTTTTAGACTCACTAACTGCTCCCTTCTTCTTCTTTTTAATGTTTTTATCCTTTCCCTTCTTAGTGTCTCCGCTATCCTCCTTCAGAAGCTCAGATGCTAACTTTTGTTGATCACCTAACCTCTGGCTGCTACCTTCTGCGCCAAGCCTTGAAGTTTTCTTTGAAGTTTTTAAATCCTCAGGGTCATCACCTTTGCTCTTCAAACTTTTCTTATTCCAACCAAACCAGCTCTTTTTCTCTTTAACCACGCCATTGGCTTCAGAGTTCTCAAAGGAAGTTGATGAGCCATTTTCTTGACCATCAAAGGCCCCATGCTCTTCATCTTCACAAGCTGCGTCGGAGTTCCCCATTCGTAGGGCAGAATCTAATTGCATTCTTTCCTCAGCAGTCAGTACATCATCGTATTCGTCATTGTTTTCCCCATTCAACATACTTTCTCCATCCTCCACAGCAAAAAGCTCTTCATCTGTCATAGCACCTGGAACCCGCCTTGATTTCACACTGACCATCACATTAAGCATGTCATAAACTTTCGCCTTCCAATTCCCAACCATCTCTGTCTTCTCTTGGCGCCTCCAAGATAAATGAGGAATAAGCTCAGCCTGAGTAACATCAATACCAGGTCTGTACATATTTGTCTGAGACATCAAGGAGACTTCATGGGCTACTTCAGCTTCTGTTGGTTGTGTACCAGCCCCTTCCAAAGCATTTGTAACTTCCTTCTCCTTGTGTGAAAGAGCAAGCAAAGAACCATGTGGCAGAGTTAAATTACCATCCTCGGAAGTATAACCCTCTCCAAGGAACAAAAATGTTTGGTCAGATCGTTGGATGCGTAAACCATCAAAACCAGCAAGAGTCATATCAGCGCGGAGATTAGAACCACGCTTCCATATTCGATAGGTATCAGAAGGGGCTATGCGTCCAATAAACGGAATCACAGAGCTTTCAAAATGAAAAGTTATCTCCATATAAAAATCCCGAATACGAGTTGCCGAAGCAACAATGCGTGGAAGCCTACGACACCATTTAGCCCAAGCCAGAGGCTGATAATGCCGTGCAATAATCATAGCAATAGCTTCCTCTCTAGTACACACCGCCTCTTGCAAAGCACTCCAACCATTCTCATTCTGTAGACTCCAATCCGCACCAACAGCCATCAATATCTCAGCAGAAACATGATCCCTAAGACGCACTGCAAGGTGAAGAGGTGTCTCCCTACCAGGCACATCACGACGATCAATAGCAGCCGATACCTCGTCCGCTCGAACCTCGGCAGCAAGCGACTCAGCTTCATTGTTCACCTCACCAGCCTTAGCAAGCCTAGGCAGAGCAGCAACAATCCGCCTCAGGGCAGCATGGTCACGTCTCGCAACTGCCAAATGAGCTGGACTATGCGCATATTTAGTTAAATCCTCCACCGACTTATCTACTACCTCTCTCTTTTCCCTTCTCCCCCCTCCTACACCACTATCATGTACACCTCCATTCACTTCCATAATTTCCTAACTAATCTCAACCTATAAAACAGCCCCTCCCATAACCTTCCCCTCCCCTTCCAATTTCAGAAACCCCAATCAACAAACCCTAAAAAACACGTAATCCTTGCAAACTAGTTCAATTTCTAGATCTCAACTGCCACAATTACAACCAACAATGACAACTGTTTTCACTCAAAATCACTTCAATATTACAAATTCTTCTCCGAAATTTCAAACATTAACTTGAAAATCCAAGTAAGTAGTTGGATCTTAATTCTTAAAGCTCTCATCAGTGTTCCAATCAAATCAAATTAAATCAAATCAAATCTGCAAACAGTTATATGTGTCAATTAGAATGCATTCAATTAAATAAAAAAACATTTATAATTGAGAAGTTAAAATTGAAAAAGAAACTAGAAATTCAAAAAGGGGAAAGTGAAGATCTGTGAAGAATGATTGATTAAGAAGAAACAAGAATGGAAGAAAGTAGTAGAGATACCTTGGTGAGAAGAAAGTATATATCTATGTATGAGTGAGATTCAGAGTTCTTGTTGTTCTTGTTTTTGCTGGTTAGGGTTGAGTTGTTAAACTGTGGTGGGTGATCGGACGGTGGAGATGGAAATGGAAAGATGGGATCTAAAGGTGGTGTGGGGCTCTGGTATGGACCATTAATGCTGACACATGACTACACAGCGATAAAGTGGACTCGCTTCAGAATCGGTCGTGACTCGGTCCTAGTGTGTTTTGCTTTTCCATTTGGTTCACTTTGGTTAGGGCCTTCGGGTATACTTTTACACTTTAACTTCATAGGTGATGGTCACCATCCAATAGGGGAATGCATTTTGAATATTGAGACTCTTGTTCAACAAGGTACTTTTTTTACCGTTTAAGTCTGACTGTTTTTTTAGTACTCGTTGTCTCAGATATTTGATCAAACATTTATAATTTTATATTTTTTATTCACGAAATTGATGAATACGTTATGATGTGTAATACTGGCTATTTTCTGGTACACATTTCTTTACTCATTTATTTTGATGGTGTAATTTATGAAAAGAGAAAGTAGGTTATGATAACCACGAAGCTGATGAATACATTATGATGTGTAATACTGACTGTTTTCTGGTACACGTTGTCTCAGATATCTGATCCAACATTTATAATTTTACATTTCTTTACTCATTTATTTTGATGGTGTAATTTATGAAGAGAGCAAGTAGGTTATGATAACCACGAAGCTGATGAATACGTTATGATGCGTATACGTTGTCTCAAATATCTGATCCAACATTTATAATTTTACATTTCTTTGCATACTTATTTTGATGGTGTAATTTATGAAGAGAGAAAGTAGGTTATGATAATCAAGAACTGATTAATATGTTATGAATTTATCTAACAATGTTTATCTTAGGGTCTTTTTCTAACATTCCTTAAGAAGTTACTAAGATCATGAGTTTAATGGAAACAAGTGTGGAGCAATTCAGTTAGTTTTTTTTTTCAAAAGTCAAAATAGTAACCTGTTGTTAGAGGAAATATGAGAAATAAACTAAGAATAGGGAATAAACTAGCATTCTCCCACTTGGTCCATATCATGCATAATCAATCATAACAAAAAACAAACATAAGAATCGTGATGATATATCTTTTAATAACGAGTAGTATCTTTCATGTATTATTATATATCAATCTCCAACTTAATGAAGTAACCATATGTTAATTTATAGTTTAAATGATGTGATATTTCTCTAAATAAATAAATACGTGCACATAACAAAATGAAAAAAATCAAACTGAATAAGAGTTTCATCAAAGTAACAAAGGTTTACAAAATGAATATCACATCGTGGAACCAAGTCTCATTTGTACTTTGTACTACATGATCCTTAAAATTATTTGGTGGCATGCCTTTAGTTAAAGAATCAACAATCATCAATTATGTGCTAATGTGTTCAATGACCATTTTATTTTCTTTAACACATTCTCTTACGGTTAAATATTTGATGTCGGTGTGTTTACTTCGACTTCCACTTTCGTTATTCTTAGCCCTAAAAATCGGCGCAGAGTTGTCAAAACTCGAACTATAGTCAACAAATATGAACCCATATATGAAACTCCTTAACCACACATCATGTGAGGTGCCCTCAAAACAAGAAACAAACTCAGCTTCTATATTTGAACTCCATGATACCTTCATTAACTAGCATAAAAACATAGGTCGGTGTTGATTTTCAAGTATCAATGCAACCAGTTGTTAGCCTGTGATTTTGACACTACACTAAACCTCATTGAGTATGGTTCGAAAGAGTCTTAGGAACAAATCTACAAGATTAGAATCATTCTCTCTTCAAAATATGTTTAGAATTTTGAAAAGGTTTGTAGTGAGTTTATATTTTTGACATGAAAGTGTGATGGAAAGGTGATAAGTTCGACTTGCATGTCAGTTGTTTTGGGACTTAGTATATTTTAGAGTCCTAAGATTAGGCGTTGCAAAGACTCTTCGATACTACACTACAAGATTTGACAGAACAGCTCTTCAGCAGAGATAATTAGAGGTTCTAAAGACAATTTTAAAGGCGAATAATAGTTTAGAAGCAATCAAAGGCACGTAGAAACATGACAGAAAATAGAAGTCCACGTAATGGGATATGTGTTGAGGGTAATAATCGTTAATGACGGTTATTGTTGTATATAGTATATAAGTTAATTTCATTCATTTAATCAAGGTTCCGAAATTTTATCATTATTCCTTATAAAACTAGAGTATCCAAGTCATAGAGAGAGAAAATAGTTTATAAGAAAACGTTTATGAATATGCGTCTATGCCTTTAAGTTTTTAATTCAAGCATTTTATTTGATTACTTTTATTGTGTTTATCTTTATTTATTTTACATCGTCGAACAATTTTGTATTGTTTTGAGTGGAATTTCCACACAACTTTTTTTACATAATAAAGTGAGCAGGATAAGATATTTCTCCTAAATAATATAAGACTAAGAAATTTTTTCAACTAAGACACACCGGGACTTAAAAAAACATTTTTCAAATTCATATCCATATATTTAGAATATTGTCCTAATATTTCAAAATGATTCACAAGGTATCATTATGTGGAGAAAAGAAAAACTATGAGGCATTAGCTACGAGTGGTACCAATAAAAGAGATATTCTTTTCTATAGGAGAAAACCCTTGAAATATTTTAATCAATACCCCTATTCATTTTAGTTAATTCATTTCCTTATTTCTTCTTCTCTCTAAACATTTTTCTATCACTAAACTCTCTCACCCAAATTTCCTTAATACTCCTCTACCCTTTTCGCCGGCGGCGGCGGCGCCACCCACCACAACCACCATTCTACTTGGTTTGCCATGCTCTACTATTTATTCAATACTTAAACATCATTCAAAAAGTAATTAAGGTAACCAATTTTTCATAATTTTATTTTAGGGTTTTGCGAATTTTATTTTCCCCTTTTTCAAATTTGTAACTTCAGTCTTTAGGGATTAGAGAGAAATTTGTTAGAAATGATTAGTAGTATCCATCATCAATGGGTGTTGAAGTTGAACCATTTTACAAGGAAAAGTTGTATGGTTGAAAATCCAAACTTGGTTGCTACTGTGAGTGAAATCAAATGATGAGTGTGAATTATAAAGTACTCTATTTTGTTTTTACTAAAATATTAGTTTTGTTGCTTTCACTAACCTTGACTTTTGGCTCTTGTCTACGGTAAAATATTGGCTTTTGTCTCGAGGGTTTTGTTTCTTTGACTCTAACATTGGTTTTGTTTCTTTAATTATAATATTTGCTTTTGTTTATTATGAGTGTGCGAATGTGAAGTTCTTTGACTACAATATGTGCTAAAATTTGTTTATATTAAGTCTATGTCTTTTAATTAAATTTAATTAGTTTTGTTAACTATGTTGGTTGTTTCATTTTTGGTAGGAGATAATGGAGAAAAATTTTAAACGAAAATTATCATCGGAAGAAGAAGACTCAATTTCTCAACAAGACTTCATTTTTCAACAACAATATACTGAGTGTAATTTGGAAGAGTTGTCATTAGATCCTGGAAAGCAGCCTAAAATGTCAGCATATCATCTGAAGGAGATAATACACATAACATGTTTACAAAGAGGACATGCGTTTCTGGTGGTTTAATGAATTTGAAAATAGGTTAGAGTATAATTTTGAAAAAGATGGTCCATTTTGTTTATGTTGTTATCTTTTTAGATCCGATTTTAGAAAGCAATTAGGTGGTGATACATTTGTAACAGGGGAATTCATAAGTTGGAATAAACAAGCTAAACTCGCATTACATGTTGGAGGCTCTAATTGTGCTCATAACATTTCTTAGAAGAAATGTGAAGATTTGATGAATCAAAAGCAACATATTGAAATGATGGTATCTAAACAATCTGAAAAAACTTATGACATGTATTGAAGGCGGTTCATAGTTTCACTTGATTGTCTTTGCTATTTTTTGAACCAAGGATTGGCTTTTCGTGGTCATGATGAATCCATTGAATCTTCTAATTAAGGAAATTTCCTTGAAATGCTTTGATGGTATGCTGACAAAAAAAAAACAAAAAAAAAAACAAAAGTGAAGCAAGTTGTATTAGAAAATGCTCCTCAAAATCTAAAAATGAATTTTCCATCAATTCAAAGAGATATTATTAAAGTTGTTGCTTTGGAAACTACTAAAGCAATTAACAATGATCTTGGAGATGAATTATTTTCTATTCTTGTTGATGAATCTGGTGGTATATCTAATAAGGAGCAAATGGTTGTTATTTTGCGTTATGATACAAATATGAAAGTATTGTTGAACAATGAAAACGTTCATAGATGGTATGTTATTTTGCGTTATGATACAAATATGAAAGTATTGTTGAACAATGAAAACGTTCATAGATGGTATGTTATGTAAACATGGACTTACTACTTCAAGAATTCAAGAACAAGGTTATGGTGGTGCTAGCAAAATGCAAGGTGATATTTTTGGTCCTAAGAGTTTAA